AGAGCCCACAAGAAGCAGCCCTCTGAGAAGTAGGAGGAGAACCAAGGAAGGTAATGGACAGAAGCCAAGGTATGAAAGAGTTTCCAGAATCAGCTTCCTAGTATAGTCAAGGGGAATGAAGTTGGCAGGAAGACCACTAGATGTGGTGGCCTTGGAGAGAGCAGTTTTAGTATAGTGAAGAGGTTGCCCAGATCACAAGGGACGAGGTGGTTGGTGAGGGAGGTAACCACGTGCAGAGACTAGAATTATGAGCGACGTGGTTGTGACTGAAGCCAGTGCATCGAAGCCCCTCGTACACAAAGGCGAGGAGGACAGGTAGTCGGTCACTCTGGAGGCATTTCTAGGGTGTCCACAGTACTTTTATTGTTCTGTGAAGTGGGGTAAGGCAAGGTGAGTGCTATCACTCAGACTGAGGTTTAGAATCGTAACGTCCACTCACCTGGATTCCCTCAGACATTAGGGGCAGCTCTGGTTTGGCAAACTGTAGCTATGGGGCATGCTCAGGACTGTTACTAGGTTAGAGGAACTCCCCCAGTCCCTTCCAATGCTAAAGGTCTGTTAGCCCTTGGTGCACTCTTCCACCCAACAAACTTCAGGCTTTTACAACTCTCCTTAAGACAAGCATTCAGACATTGCTGCTAGCTGATGACGTCGCCCTGAAGACCAACACCCAGGCAAGAGGTTGTAGATGATTTTTACAGTCACAAAAGATAACAGGACAACATTTTTCCGTCTCCTTGCTTCAGCGAAATTCCCTCTAACTGAAAATCTTGATTTGTATTAGTGAATAATAAGTTGCCACCGATATCTGCTACAGCAGACTGGTCTAGCCTGTCAAGACACTAAGAAGAAAAACCAGAAAAACTAGAGGAGTTCGGCATCCAAATGGCATCAAGCTGCAGATTGAGTTAAACATTAGAAAATAATGACATTGCGTGGTTTAGTCTAATCTAGAGGTGAGAGACCTGGGGAGCACGTTCAGCCTCAGCTCCATTTCATTAGCAGCACCTGTGAGTCATGTCTACCATCAAATGGCAAAGCATGACTATCAATTAAGAGGCTCTGAAAGGCAGTCAATACCCTGGCTTGAAGTCAGGCTCATGATAACTCACAGTCTTTGGGTTTAAACCCACCCCCACCTATGACACACACGCAAAGATACACATACACACTTACACACATACATATACACACACACACACTCTCACAAACCAGAATCTAAATCATGTGTGCACGATGCTCTGAAAAGGTGCACCTGTAGGAACAAGAGACGAAGTAAATCCTTTGAGAATCCCGAGAAGCACAACCTGAAACAATATATGAATATGTGCAGCAACGATGGCTGGGAAACCCCATTGGAGCACAGAGGTTCTCCTGGGCCTGAGGCAAATTCAGGAACTGCCAAAAGCTGCCCCACTGCACGAAATAGGGTCATGGGTACAGAGAGCTGGACCATTTTAATAATCAAACCTAGTCGCCACATGGTTGACCTCATCAACTGCTACAGAAATGATTGCAAAGGGAGCTGGAAATACCAGATTAGCTCCACGGTGGCTGACTTAGTGTCTTCAAATATGACCAACAAAACATCAGGCCACCATAAGGCGACACAGCAGCGCTACACAGAGCACGAGCTCAGACACAGACTGAGGGGCAAACAAGGCCTGACACCTGTCCTGGCAGCAGTGTGGACCTCAATGTCAGGTAGGTCTGAGGAGCAATCAGCAGAGGCATGATGGGAAACACATCAGACAGTATCAGACACCGCATTACATTGTAAGAACACAAAATAAATGGTCATATGTGAACAAAACATTTCCAAATGTTTTATAGTCTAGGTGATTTTCACTATACATATTTGTGATGAAACGATGGCCTCTTTGCAAACTGCACTGTATTTTACTTAAATGTGTGTGGTGTTTCTAAAATGAAAAAAAAATTTACTTAAATGTTTTGAGCCAAAGAAAAAAATTATTTCATCAGAGGGTCTGAGTTAGAAGACATAAAACCCAGGAGATACACTCATGTTGAGAAATCAGTTGTTGATGTCAAATAGGGGCCAGAGAGGCTTCCAAATGGAAAGGACTTTATCTGCTTGCACACCGCCTGTGAACATGCATGGGGTTGCTGTAATCTTTATGTTTTCCAGATTTGGCCAGGTGATATAAAATGGAAAGTAATTTGTCTCTCATGTCAAGAGAAGGAAAAGGAAACAGAGAAGTGATTGGTATGCAGGGAAGGTTGACCTCCACTCTTCTGTGCTATAAACAGAAAGCAATCATAGGTGGGGGGTGTGTCTGTGTGCTTGTACATAAAGGGTAGGATGCTGTGTAAGTTCAGGGCTTTCCATGCCATGGAGAGCCATGAGAGAAAAAAATCAAAGTTTAACTTGAAAACAGAAATGAAGAAAAGAGAAAGGATTAGTAATATTAACAAGACCAGTAAAAAAACTGAAATATACATCTGTTTGTATTTTTTTAAATATCGTTCTGGTTTGTAAAATTTCTTAACAAATAGTAACAATTAAAGATTAGTTGATACTAATACTTTGCTATTTTATTTTTTATTTTTTTTAATTATAAAAAAGCAATCACTGAAAGAGATTGTGTGCTATGACACATGACTTGGTCATCTGTGTCTACGGGCAGCCAGGGATGAACCAACCCCACTTCCTTGGTTTCTGAATATCAAAAATACACTTAATGACCTCATGGTTTTTAAAACCACCCGTCCTTGCCCTTCTCCCGAACTCGAAGTCTGCCTATACACTTCTCCATCTGGATGTTCCACCAGCCCTAGCTGACAAAGCCAGTGCTCCTTGCCATTCCTCCCAACCTGTGCCTCTTCCAATGCTCCTTATCTTATACCTTGCCCTCAGCCTCAGCCATTGCCACTCTTTGCCCTCTCAAAGACGCCCATTTAATCACTCCATCAACTCTGTGCCCTCCTCTGCACTTGGCTAAGGTCCCAGGCTCTCTCCCTTGGATCTGGTAAGAGTCTCATTGCTCTGGGCCTCCATTTTCCAGTCTAACGTTTACCTTCTCCTGGGCTTATCTTCTGATCTTTGGTGACTTACCATTGCTTTTGTGGCACAGCCCAAACTCCCCCGGAAGACTTCACGCTCCAGCCTCACTCCCCACCACCCCTGCTCCTGCTTCCTGAGCTCTGGCCACACTGGTCTCCTTTTTACCCTGGACATGCCTTGTCTTTGCTCAGGCTGCTGCCTGGAATGCCCATTTCTCAAGTCCCTGCCTCTGCAAACCCTACTCATGCTTTCCATGTAAAGCTCTTCTCAGCCCTGCCTTGGCAGAATTCATCTCTCTGCCCTCTGTATTAGTGTGGCACTTCGTTCTTACCTGGGTGGAGCACTTATCGCATTATACTGAAGTTGTTGATGTGTCTGTCCTACCAACTAGATTATGGGCTCCTTTAGGGCAGAAATCAGGTCTCAAATCTCTCTCTCTTGAAAGCACCCAGCAGAGGGGCTGGCAAATGGAAGGTGGTTAAACAATCCTAATTAAGTTAAATGCTATTTCTTCAGGCTCCCAAGCCAGGAATTGCCTGGTGACAACTTACTCAAATTGAGGGCTGGTAAAGAAGAAAAAGACTCATAAATACACAAAATCTGAGAACCATAATAAAAAAATTTCCTCCCCAAATTCAATGGAAATTCTGGGATAAAAATAGATCAGTGAAATCTGGGGGCTGTCCTTTACAAATCTAAAGCCTATTGATATAAGAATATACTATGTATAATTTGGTAAGCTCATAAAAGCCACCATGCTTAGTATTTTAAATTTAGAAAATGTTAAAGCATTTGAAAATGCACGAAGTGAATGAATGTATGTACGTAGAGGACAATTAAATGTATACTTTTAAGATATACTATTTATTGAAGTATTATTTATGCAAAGAAAAGTGCACAAATCGTAAGTGTACACTTCGATGAATTTTCACCAAGGGAATACAGCCAAGTAACCAATATCCAGATCAATAAATGGAACATTTCCAGACCCCCAGAAGCCCCCTTGTACCCTTGTGCAATCACTGCCCTCTTCCCCAAGGGCAACCACAATCTTGACCTTTAACACTATGGATCTGTTTTGCTTGTTTTGATTCTTTGTATAAATAGAATCAAACAGTATACACACATTGTACATATATTACAATGTGATACAGTGTACATAACATTGCAATGTGTTCTGTTTGATTTCCTTCACTTAATATTATTTTATGAGATTCGACCATATTGCTGCGAGTAGCAACAATATTTCCTAAATCTGTAAGCGTGACTGCTTCTTAAATTGTGTCACTAGTGGGGCTATAAGGTGTTGAACTGTCAGGAATCCAACATCTCCTCATTTTGGCCAAGAATTACTTGAAGTAAGACTACCTTATTGTAGTAAGACAAAAAGTTGTCGTGTTTCTGAAGTTGATGAACTCTATGACATCCAGTCAGTAACTTACTCAGTAAATATTTCTAGAATGAAGGAATAAACATAGTGGAATCACAAAGCACTTTTTCAGGGGGAAAAAAACTGAGGGAGGACAGACTGTAGAAGTTAACTGAAAACAACTTTTGCTACATGATCATTTTTGAAATCAGTCTAATTTTCTGAATTCTAGGAACAATTTTTGCATATTTTGGTGCTTCATTTTTGTCATTTTCATAAACGTTTAAAAACTAAGGTTTGAGCGAAACTTTTTTAATATTTCACATACCCTAACCAAAGACCGATGGCTTGCTGAAGTGGGTGAGAAGAAAAACGGAAGGTTTTGCCACCATATTGTGGAGGTGATACAGTAGAAAGAATTTCAGATTGAATTTGTAAAAAGAAATACAGAAGGATGCTCTGTAGTCTCCAACCATTGAAAGCATATGTCCAGCTCTCAGCAAGCTGTGTACCTCTATATGTTTTATATAATACACACGTATCACACAGTGCTACTAACAACTACACACATCTTCCAAGTTGGCCCACTGTCCTATGAGCACATACCTTGGGGATTAAAGAAACCAGTCATCCAAAACACATTGGGCCTTCCTTCAAATATCCAAGTAGAAAACTGAGCATTTCTTTCCAAAAGTTCAGTAAACCAGAAGCCCAGTGTAGATGAATCCCAGGACACTCTTTTCCAGATCTGAGGTATACGAGCATCATACATGTTGTCAAGGGCATCTCTCAAGTTCTGAAAAAGATAAAGTTAAAATATGAGAATAAGAAAAATCAACAAAAGCGGGAAATGACTATTGAGATAATAACAGCTCACCTCACTCATAATGATTGTTCCTTCAATGGCCAATTTTAGATCACTCAGGCTACTGCGAAGTATTGAGATGACTTTTTGCATTCTGTCAATTTCTTGTCTAAGAAATATATTCATTGAATTAAGATGTCCCATCTTTATCAAACGAGCTTTCACCTAAAAAAAGGATACAATAAAAGAGAAATTTTTTTATCATCCTTCTCTTCTCTTTCAATGACCTGTCCTTTCTCTAAAAGTCTTTTTTTTTCCTCTGCCTGTATCACTACCAGCCCAAATGAACTCTAAAACATCTCTTGCAGAACACAACTTGCCATTAAATTCCCCATTTTCTGGGCTTCAAAAACTACTGTTCGACTAAAACGATTTTTATTTCCTACTGATTGTACTTAGTTGATAATTGGAAATGTACTTTAAAAGCTGAAATAAAATTGTACCTATTTCCCTTTCAAATGATTAAGCACCAAGTGTCAGTTAAATAGTCTTTTGCAATCTAACCTTTATAAGAGTACAGTTTGGAATATTTTCTTTCATAATGCTTGCAGAGTCATTATTAGAAATGTCACAAAGTTAATACAGTACAGCCAAAATCTTTACAGAACAGTTACCAATAAATATGATTGGCTATAGTTTCCTAAGATCATTGTTGCCTTGGCTAGGGCAACTAAAGAGAGACTTTCCTAATCTAATCAACGAAAATATTTGACTTTGTGGGAGAGCCATTAAGCACCTGTCATTTGTTCCCTTTGGTATATCATTTATTGACCATGTTGACGAGATCAATATAAAAGCCTCTGGTTATGGGAACAATAAATACAACAACCATTGGAAAATAAGCCAATACACATACACATTTCAATTTAGTGACATATATATCCAAGAAAAAATTGACTACAAATACTGGCAAGAATTCATACAGAGATTTGAACTTTCTGCTGGCCACAATCGAAGGGATGCCAGAATAGGAGGGGTAAGGATAACTACATGGAGTGGGAGAGAATTTAAAGCGATGTACCAGTCCAAAGAATCATCAGCAACCCGGTAAACTGTGGAATTCTCTGCTGGAGATGCCCACTGCCCCTTCTTGAGTCATGGAATGTTAGAGATGGACGAGCTTCAGAGCCATCTGGACCATCCTCCTCATTTTACAGAACAGATTTTCTGTCATGGCACAGAAGTTAACTACTCAGCAATGGACACCTCTGCTTTTCTGCAGCTGCAAAGCACTTCTGGTAAGCGAGGGATGAAGAGGGGAAGCACCAACTCAGAGGGAAGCTGTGGTGTGAAACGGAACAGCCTGGACAGGACTGTCTGTGCAGACAGAGTAAGTAATATTGCAATGCCAGTCAGACATGCCAGTGGAGGTCCCTAACCCGGTCTGCTATACCAACCTTCAGGTGCCATACCAACCTTCAGGTATTCTCCTAAATTTCTGGTTCTAGAACTTACATTTTTGCAGGCTCCACTGCCCTGTTCTCAGCTCAAGCCTGTTAGCCTCCAGTGGCTGAATAGCATATACATCATCCCCTTTAAATCATGACTACTCTGGAAATTCACACTTAAGGAAAAGGGAAATTATGGAAATACTTTTGCAACTCCCACAAGTGGGAAATTAAGCCCAGGTATTGCCTACAATGTCAAATCAATAACCCAAGTATCTTTCAGTATGCGAAAAGCCCCAAACAAATCTTCTTGTGTGTGTGTGAGGAAGATCAGCCCTGAGCTAATATCCATGCTAATCCTCTTTTTGCTGAGCAAGACTGGCCCTGGGCTAACATCTGTGCCCATCTTCCTCCACTTTATATGAGATGCCGCCACAGTATGGCCTGACAAGCGGTGCCTCGGTGCGCGCCCGGGATCTGAACCCGGGCCACCAGCAGCGGAGCGCACGCACTTAACCACTATGCCACGGGGCCAGGCCCCCTACTTAGAGTTTTAAAAGAGAAACTTCACTTGCAATAGAGACATGCTTAGGAAAACTTAGACTCTAGAAAATCTAATTTTAGTACTGATTTTGAGTATGATTATTGTTCCAGCCTAAAATTGTCTTTTTATTAATAAAATGAAAGATTTGCTGTAGTTTTATGTAAGATTTTCATTATGTTTCTGGGACCAGGTAGTCTCTTCGACAGTAATGTGGCTCCGTTTTTACTGTGGAAGTCAATAGTATAATTACATTTCAATTTACAAAATTCACTTTACAGCCACATTTTCAAGAACACATCTCTTCTATAAAATAAAGGACACTAAAAAGTAGGTGATCTTGGAAGAGGAATCAGTTTTAGATGTCTCTTAGTACAAACCTCGTCCCATATAGCAGTCCATTCAGCGACATTACTCACACTTGCCTCCTGCTAGGATAGTGCCAGAACAGAGATCTTGGTGAAGTGGCACCAACCAACCCTGGACAGCTCAAATTATCCCAAGGTCTTGAAACCTACCTCTGGTAATACCAACCTGTGGTCTAGTCATACAGAGTAAGTTTTAGCCCACTTTCACATGCTAGTTCTGAAAATCTTTGAAGGCAGGTATTATGCCTCATCTGTCTTCTGAAGATCACTTATGATGAACCATTGAAAGTACGCACTTATAATATTTATCCACTAAAAAAAAAAAAATGTTTTCTCCCGTTTCTATAACTATCTCTATGTGAAGCCATTGATTTCATATCTTGACCAAATGTCTTGGTACCCATCTACACGACAGAAACAAAAATTGTTTTAAGAGGCAAGAAAACGTTTTTTATTGTTGGGGGTGCTCACTGAAGATGGGAGTCCTGTAGCCCAGGCAGCCTAGGGGCTCCCAGCTGACAAGTGTATTTTTCCCAGACTTGGGGGTGCAGGAGAGTGTAGACACAGGACCATAGTTACACCCACCTTAGGGCATCAGCCTCTCACTTTTTGGTTGAAGAGTTAAGCTTGACTCAGCCCAGTCTAGGACTGAGGTGAAGCTCTGACCATCAGCAGTGAAGGACAGAGGAACAAGAAAGAGAAAGCCCCAGAAGGCCAGAGGACACAGTCCTGTCTTCTTGCGTGAAGAAGCAGACCGACTCGGAGGAAGTTGGAGGACCTCTCCCAGAACTTTCAGGTCATCCAGAAATGTTACCACAGTTAAAGATTTATTTAGATCAGCAGTTCTCAAAGTGTGGTCTCAGACCCATGAAGGCCCCTGAGATCCTTTCACAAGGTTACATTTTTTTCATAGTAATGCTAACACATTATTTGACCTTTTTACTCTCCTTCTCTCGGGAATGTACAATGGAGTTTTCCAGAGGCTACATGATGTGTGATATCACAACAGATTGACTGCAGAAGCAAGTATGGGAATCCAGCTGTCTTTTATTAAACCAGACATTAAAGAGATTTGCAAAAATGTAAAACAATCCCACTCTCCTCAATGAATTTTTTTGTCCAGGAAAATACATTTATATTTTCAGTTAAAATGTTATTTATGTTAACGTGTAATGAGTTTGTTACTGTTATTTTACAATAAATTAATAAATATTTTTGAAATTTCTCAGTTTAAATTTCTAATATATTAAATATCAGTAGTTACAACCCGCATAAACAAAAGCTATTTGGGGTCCGCAATCATTTTGTAAAGGGTTCTTGAGATAAAAAATTTGAAAAAAAAAAACTGATTTAGATTAACAAGCAAACACCTGGGAGGTTCCAGAAGTAGAAAATTATTGCCATCCAAACTGCGGAGTGAATTCCTTTACATGATTTGCTTTCCTATAACACGGCTGAGAGGACTGAGAGAATGAAAAGTATGGAGGACAGGAGACAAAAACAAAGGGTAAGTTTAAAGAATGGACAGAGCTGGCTTGGGTAAGAGAGCTAGGGAGAGGTTTCCAGCTAGAGGGCTAAGCTATCTGGGGACTCAAAGACACAGGAATCCAAAGAGGGAAAAGGATACAGAAAAGACAATTGAAAGAGAAAGTGGCCTAGAAAGGAAATGGAGAAAGGTGTCAGAAAAAATGCAGATCATCATTTGCAAGATGCTTGAGAAAGAAGAAAGAGGAGACCAAAAGGTAAAAGAATGAGTTGAAAAGGAAGAAGGAATGAGCAGAGACAGGAAGGGACTGAAAGATACTGTCCCAGGACTGTGCTCAGCTTTGTGGAACCAAAGACAGTCCTGTCCAAGCGGTGGGAGAAGGGCGTGGCTCACCTCATGAGGAATGTAATCAGGAGGCAGCTTGCTCAGCATGTCTTCAGATAATCTATAGACAATGGCTTCCCGTGTCTCTCCCACTCCACCTCCACTCTCTTTGGGTTGAATGTTGGTAATGGTTTCAAGAACAGCAGAAGCAGTGTTACTCTGATACCTGACAAAAAGAGGGAACTGTTCAGAATGTAGCAGGGAAATGCACCTTCAGAGATAATTATCAAAGCAATGAAATGATGAATCACTTCAATCAAATCCAACCAAAGACAGAAAAAAAAAAACCGGAAACTTTACTATCAGCCTTTAAGGAATGAAAAAACTAGAGATCTATTCTACTGCTTCCTAATGGGACATCTCAAGAACATCACAGAAATGAAAAACTCTCCATCTTCAGAGAAAGAAATTCCACAAATGTCCGTGACAACCCAAAGCAGTGCTATCTGATCTTGCTCACAGCTAACCTAATCACTTCATGCTGGAAAATGAGCCTGCCTCCTTTTATTCTCCCCCAGTCACCGACTAGACATAAGAATCCTACCATTATATGACAATTTGTAAGATCAAAGAGCACCACTCATATTTCCTCACTGAATTATAAATTATCAAAATTTCTTTGGTCTTTTCTGGTTTGTTTTCTCAGTTTTCCACTTGTTTCATGATTTCCAAGTTGGCCTATTGGCATCCCTCTGCTCCACCTGTCTAAATGCAGCCCCCATCTTTAAAATCCATACATTCAATACAGATTTACTATGCACCAGGCACTGAGCTAGTGCTAGGATATGATGGTGAACACGTCCTTGCCTTGTTGCCTTTCTCTATGGAGGAAGGAGACATTAGTCAATACCACTGTAATAAGTGCTCCGGGGAAAAGAACAGGATGCTTTAAGAGAGTGTAGTCTGTCTGTCTCTTGCTCCCACTCGCACTCTCTAGCTCTCTGTTAGGTCAACCAGATGCTCTGAGGTGCAAGAATTTAGTTTTTGTCCCGAAGTTGCTAGATTGACCAGAAGTCTGGACACACATATGGTGTGTGTTTGTCTAAGTGTGAGTGTGAATGAGTGAGTGTGTGTATGTTGGAGGCAATTTACACTAGAAGATCAGGGAAGGTATCTCTTAAAATGCCGTATCTAAGCTGAGACCTGTGGGATGAGAGGTCAGCCAGGCAAAGTGGGGTGGGGTAGGAGGTAAGAAAGGACATTCAGGTAAGAAGTAAGACCTGGAGGTGAGGAGGACTTCAGTGCATTCGAGGAGCAGAGCCAAGGCCAGCGAGGCCGTAGCCAGTGCTAGGAGGAGAGAGGAGGATGGAGACGAAGCAAGGACCAGACCATGCAGGGTCATGTGGGCTACTTTAAGGATTCTGAACGCTACCCCAGGGGCAATAGGCAACCACTGAGGACTTCACGAGCAGGGGTGTGCATGATCAGATTTACATTTTTCTGTCCTTTCTGAACTCCTAATTTTCTACCTATAAACATCACATAATTAAATTGTTCTGAGTTACTGTTTGGTTTCATTTGTAAATTTTTTCTCTTGTCCAGATGTGAACCACATTTACATCTCTTTTCATAGGTGTCAGAGGCAAATCTAAAAGGAATTCAACAAATGTTTGAGACTAGTGATTTGTTTTTCTGTTTTATTTCCTTGGACACAAAATAAGTCTTTGTAATATGCTATATGTATCAAAATTTTAAATGTGCATAACTTTTAATCTAGAAAGTCTACATCTAAGAATTCACCCTAAAGAGATAATCAGACATTTCCATTTCTGACAGTATAGTGCAATTGTTACCCTGAACAACTCTCCTGAAAATAACTAAGAATGTTGGATAAGATATGAAAAACATCTTTTTAAATACATTACTGAACTGGCAAGAAACTAAGAAACCCTCAGGGTCAAAAAAAATATAGAGTGAAAGCTGAAATCTAGAGAGCTAAGCCAGATTGTACCCTGGAGGCATAAACTCACCCCTGGTGTTCTTGAGTTTCTATTTGGATGGTACAATGAGGGAAGAGGGAAGCCCTATACTCAAGGTGGAAAGTCTAATAGGAAACTCCTATATAAATTTGGGACACCATAGGGCTACACCCTCAGTGTGAGGGTAAACTAGAAATAACTCATCTGTCAGAAGGGGATGGTGGGAAAATTGTTCTATCTAGCTTCACATTGGGTAGGAAATAATCCTTCCTGAGAATTCTTAATTCACCAGGTTTCTGACATCGATTAACATTCATTCATATTACCTGTGTGATTTGAAAAATCTCAAGCCAAAAGTTTATTTTAAGGTGATCCCAGGAAGTCCCAGGTGGCACTGGGGGAAAGCAAACACAAATCTTCCCTGGAACAATGTGCCTTCAACCCAGGCTTCAAAAAATCCAACAGGCCATTTCCAATAGACATGAGCTCACAGTCAAAACTCATTAAAAAAAAAAAAACAAAAAAAAAAAAACAAGGCACTGTGAGCAAGCGCCAGTAGAAACAACAGAAAGCAGAACTAGACATGCAAAGATCTCAGATAGTGAATTTCCAGATGCACATCATAAAATGTTTTTACTACATTGAAGAATAAAAAAAAGGTGATTGAAAATATAACTATTAAACAGTAAACTATAAACATGAATAGCATATTTGAAAAATGTCCAAGTAGAACTTCTATAAATAATTAAAATTCAAAGCCTGTATTAGTTTTTTATTGCTGCGGTAACAAATTACAGTCATGTGCCACATAACAATGTTGCGGTCAGTGACGGGTCACATATGATGGCCCCATAAGATTAGTACTGTATAGCCTAGGTGTGTAGTAGGCTATACCATCTAGGTTTGTGTAAATACACTCTATGATGTTTGCACAACAATGAAATCACCTAACAACGCATTTCTCAGAACGTATCCCCATTGTTAAGCAATGCATCACTGTACCACAAAATCAGTGCCTTAAAACAACACAAATTTATTATCTTACAGTTCTGTAGTTAAGTCTGATGCAGGTTTCACTGGGCTAAAATCAAGGTGTCAGCAAGGCTGGGTTCCTTTCTATAAGCTGTTGGGGAAGATCCATTTTCTTGCTCATCTGAGTTGTTGGCAAAATTCACCTTATTGCAGCTGTAGCACCGAGGTCCCCAATTCCTTGCTGGCTCTCAGGTTAGGGCCCTTCCCAGATTCTCGAGGCCATCTGCATTCCTTGGCTCATGGCTCCCTTCCAACATCTTCAAAGCCAGCAATGGCAGGTTAAGTCCCTCTCTTGCTTTTAATCTTTCCTCCTTCTTCCATTTCATCTCTCTGACTCACGCTTCTGCCTCCCTCTCCTACTTTTAAGAGCTCATGTGATTAAATTGGGCTCACTTGGATAATCTAGGATAACATCCCCATCTTAAGGTCCTTAACCTTAATAACACCTGTAAAGTCCTTTTTGTCACATGAGGTAAAACATTTAGATGCTCTGAGGATTAGGATATGGATATCTTTGGGGTGTCCATTATTCTTCCTACCATAACAATTATCAATGGGTTAAATAGCAGATTAGATATAGCTAAAGAAAGAATTAGAAGACTGGAAAATAGACCTGACGACAGTATCTAGAATGCTGCAGAGGGGAAAATAAATGGGAAATATGAAAGAGAGGTTAAGAGACATGTAGGCTAGAGTGATAAGCTCTAACACACATTTCAGAAAAGTTTCAGAAAGATAGAAGACGGAGAATGAAAAAGAGATAACTGATGAAATACTGACCGAGAATTGATGAAAGATCTGAATTCTCAAGTTCAGGAAACTCAATGCATCCTAAATAGGATAAAAAAACAAATAAATAAACAGAAATCCATATGTAGACATATCACAATGAAACTGTTGAACACTAAAAACAAAGAGAATATCTTAAAAGTGGTCAGAGGGAAAAATAGATCATCTAGAAAGAAATGACAATTTAACAGCCAATTCCTCAACAGCAGCAATGGAAACCATAAGAAAATAGAATACTGCATTCTATGTGCTAGGAAAAAATAACTATAAACCTAGACTTGTATACCAAGCAAAATTATCTTTCATGAATAAGAGCAAGAAAAAAGATTTGAAGAGACATTTCACCAAAGAAGCTATATTTTAATGGCCAATGGCACATGAAAAGATGCTCAACCTCATTATTTATTAGGAAAATGCACACTAAAACTACAATGAGATACCATTTCACACCTATAAGAATGATCATAATCAAAAAACAGACAATAACAAGTGTTGGTAAGGATGTGGAGAAACTTGAGCCCTCATATGTTGCTGGAGGGTATTGTAAAACGGTGCAGCCACTTTGGAAGACATTTTAACCATATGACCCAATAATTACCTTTCTAGTTATCTGTTCAAAAGAAATGAAAAGACATGTCCACACAGACTTGTCTGTGAATGTTCATAACAGCATTCGTGAAAGCCAAAAAGTAGAAACTACCCAAGTGTCCATCAATTGATGAATGGATAAACAAAATGTGGTATATTCCATTCATATATGGAATATTATTTGACTATAAAAAGCAATGAAGTACTGATACATGCCACAACATGGATGAACTTCAAAAACATTACACTAAGTGAAAGAATCCATACACAAAAGACCACATAGTATGTGATTCCAGTTATAGGAAGTGTCCAGGAAAGGTAAATCTATGGAGACAAAGTAGGTTAGTGGTGGCCTGAGGCTGGGAGTGGGAGTGGGAATTGATTACAAATGAGCACAAAGATTCTTTTAGGGGTGACAGAAATGTTCTAAAATTAACTTGTGGTGATGGTTGCACAACTCTGAAAACTTACTAAAAATCATTGAACTGTCTACTTAAAATGAATTAACTTATGGTAGGCAAATTACACCTCAATAAAGCTGTTTTTCAAAAAAGGAGGGCAAAGTAAGATATTTTCAAAAAACAAAAGAGTTTACTATCAACAGGCCCTCATTGAAGGAAATTCTAAAGGATATACTTTAGAAAGGAGGATAATTCTTCTGATGGAAGGTTTGAGGTGTAGAAAAGAAATGGTCAATGCATGGGCAAATCTAAATAAGCATTATGGTATAAAACAATAATTATATGTTTGATTGTGGGGTAGAAAAAAATAAGATAAAATTAAAATACTGAAATGCCAGGAGGGGAGTGACTGTAGTCAAAGTTACCTAAAAGTTTTT